TGCCCGCTCTCCCCTCTCCGACGATGCAGTCCCATGCGCGGTCCAACGTGTAAACTCCATCGTCCCTGTTCATGGTCCCACATCCACGTCTCCTTATCTCGATAGCTTCTTTTATCCATCTTTTGTATTCCTGTTGTTCGGTGTTTATGATCCTTGAGGTTTCCCAGTCCATTACATGGTTTTCTCTTAAGCAATGATCTGTTACGGCTGACTTCTTTATTGTGCTTTCTGCTTCTTCTTTTGCTGCTCTTGTGTGTTTTCGACTTGCCTCTTTCTCGCACTCCTTTCTATGTTCTATTGTTCGTGTGTTGAGTTGGCGTCCGGTTTCTCCTATGTGTGTTTTATTGCAGAGTTACATGGGATTTCGTAAACGACTCCACATTTAAGTCCAGCTGGTATCTTGTCTTTTGGGTGTACTAGTCTGTTTCTAACTGTTGTGTATGGTTTTGTTGGTGTGTTTATGTTGTGTTTTGTCATTTTTGCTCTTATTTTTTCTGTTATGCCTCTGATGTATGGTAGGGTTATCACTGGTTAGTTCTTGTCTTTCTGGGTTTCTGGTTCTTTGCTTAGGTTGTTCTTTTCTTTCTGTTTTTGTTTGCCGTTTTCCTTTGTTTATTGCCCATGTCGGGTATCCGCAGGTCTTTAAAGCGTGTTGTATGTGTTTGTCCACTTGTTTATGGTCTCTTTCTTCTGTTATTATGTTTGTTTGGTGATATAATGTTCTGATTACTGACATTTTGTGAATGGTGGGGTGTTCTGATGTCCATAATAGATATTGGTCTGTGTGTGTTGGTTTCCTGTATGTGTTTATGTTTAGGGTCCTTTAGGGTTTCTGTGTTTTAAAAAAGAACAACAGCATGGAATTAGAAACAAGATACAGCAAGAACACACTTAAGATGGAAACCCTGTTGTATTGTTGTAACTACAACCTCCACACACTAGTGTGATGCCCCCACCGTCTTTTTGGGTTCTATTTGTGTTTGACTGTTTTCTCTACTGTTGCAGGCAGCTCATTAAGCAGTATTAAAAGCACCTCAGCACAGGTTGTGCTGCTGCCTAAAAATCTTGCTGGCCTTTAGTTTGTTGTGGGTCTCTCCTTTGTCCTCCTTGGTCATTATTTCTGTTTATTATTTACATTTTTCAATGGTTAGTTTGTTAGACAATTCAGTTTGGTCTCCCTCCTTGTAACAGCCCACCACTCCTAGATCAGGTTGTAACATTTGGGGGGTTGTCCGGGATCTCTCACATAGTTTCTCTGGATGCTTTGTATTTTGTGGTTTCAGGTGTTCTGAAGGCTGGTGAGCAGGGCTACTCTGCCTTGTTGGAGTCCAGAGGAGCTTTGGAAGGAGAGCATGTCTGTTTGCTGTGTGTGAGCAGTGGTTCTTCAGGGAAGCTGTGAGGTGTGGTGAGTAGAGACTAAGTTGTTTTTAGCCAGAGTTTGGGGTATGTTTTTGTGATGCGTCATTTTGAATTTCTGCTGTTACCATTGATCTATCCCAGTAGATTTCAGAACGGTTGCATTTGGTTCCCTTTGAGGGGTTTTGTAGTGTCAAAGTGGTTAAAGCAGTTGTCTCGGTGCATGTCCAATGCTGCAGGTAGAGTCGCTAAATAATTAGTTGCTTTGCCAGGCATGTGGGTTTTGTGCTTAATTACCCACAACAAGTAGGAAGGATATTAGCTGGTTGCTGTTAGGCAGGTAGAGGGACAGGGTCATGGTGAAATGCACTTGAGTATTGGTGTGGCTTAAAGTATTTGTCACTTTGGTGTTTGTGATCCATATTCCACCTTTAATCTACAGAAATGCTTACTGACTGTGAAACCCAAACAGCCTCTATTATTGTATTGCAAACATCTTGCTCATATCACAGTTCAGGGTGGGATGGTTGATTACCTTTATCTATCTGTTCATCCATCATCATATGAGGACTGCTGTCAAGTCACTGACACTAGTCAGTGACTTGATGCAATTTGCTGGGTTCCTTATATAGGAAACATTTTTTCTGATTGGCTTAATGAACTGACCTGAATTGGAATGTTTATTATGTGAAGTGCCTTGAGATGACTCTTGTTGTGATTTGGCACTATATAAATAAAATTGAATTGAATTGAATTCAATTCAATTCAATCTGCTTATCTGGGGTCAGGTCGTAGGGGCGGCAGCCTAAGCAGAGAGGCCCAGACATCCCTCTCCCCAGCCACTTGGAGGCTTGATTATCTTTTCTTTTTTCTTTTAAAAAGGTGAGATTACAGTCCCTCCAGAGTAAAACATTGTACCACAAGCAACCTGGTATATTTATTAAAGGTGCGTTTTAGGAAAGGAATGTAGAAATAAGCAGGAAATGACAAAAAATGGTAAAAATAAGATGCAAGTTGGAGGATAGAAATAACAAGGACCGGTGACAAGTTATGTTTAAAGTGACAAAACATAACTGGAGTATTTGTGAATTAGTCATGTATGAATGAAATTAATTAGCTTGATTTGAATAAGTGTGATGAAAAGGGGAACAAAGAGTGGGAAGAGAGGAAGGGTTGATGTTCAGATAAGGTTAGATTTCGTGTGATTAAGGTGTAGTTCTGTTCCCACTGTTCTCACTTACAGAAACGTTTATAATTATTTGAGTAGAAATACCTCATTTGTGCTGCAGGGGGAAGCTGAAGTCCGCTTCCATCCTAAATGTGTGTGTTAAGTTGCTGCTGTTGCCTAATTTATACCAACATGGATGTCTGGGGAATTTGAGTGGAACCATGTGGAACACCCCCCCCCCCCCCCCCCCCCCCCCCACACACACACACACACACACACACACACACACAGAAGAACTAAGGGAAAATGCAAATTCTATAAGCTGGTTCAAACTCAGAACTGTAGGAGACATTTGAACATGAAAACAGCCATCATTTTTAAATGAAAAACTTGGCACATATTGAGTGTAAATATGTATTTATGAATTCGATCTTTAGTTAGAAGCTGCTTGGATACAATTCCTCTAAACGTCCGGAATGATTTGTTTAGTCTCACTATGAGAAAAGAAGGTCAAAGGTCATTGGGATTAAATCAAGTTTAATTTTATTAACAACACCTTCATTCCTAAATACTACGAATATGCTGAATAACAGTACGTGAATTTGAGGTCAAATGGGTGTTTAGAAGGTGGGTGGTCTGCCTTTTCTGTAAAGAGACATAAAACTAAAATATTCTCAACTGGGTGCCAACACTTTTCTGCTGGAGTCATACCAAACCACCAGTAATATGTTTTCCTGCTTTAGGGAGTAAAACAGAGCAGAGTGCATCTAATGAATCAGAAACCACTGAGTTTTCTGCTCCTTTCATAATATGCATGGCCAAATCCTTGTCTGGTTTGGGTCAAATGAACAGAAATGAAATCTCTTCACGCACCATTTATAACTTATTTCTCTGATCCAATACATCTGTGCCTCTTTCTGCTTTCTCCTCAAAGACCACTTCATAAAAAGGTGGAGTCTTGTCTGACCTTGTCGACATTTGATTTGTAGGCTTTAAAATCAGATAAACAAGCAACTCAGCTGAGCCTCAGCTAGGCTTTTCCTCCTCAGATGTGTAGTTCAATGATTCTTCTGGATATAAACAGCTCATTTTCTCATTTGAAACCAAGTTGAGGAGACAATTTCTTCATCTCAGAGGGAGGAGAAAATGTTTGAAGCTGGAGAAGTCAGTTTGAGCATAAAGCAGCAAAGAATTAACTGTGAAGTGAAACCAAACCTTCATGACACCCATTAGTGGTTTGTTCAGTGTGAAAGTCACTGATGGTGTTTGACTGCTCTTTTTGGTGTTTTTTTTAAAATCTACTAGTGTGTCTCCTTGCTGAGTGTGCAGATCTACCTTGTGTTTTGTCTTTTTACCTGAAATTCCTGCAGAATTTGTTCAAAGGCTTTAGTTTGTTACTGTGTTTTTTTAATCCAGTAAAAACTTGAATTACATTTATTTTTGGAAATTTGAGGCAAAATTCTGGTCAGTGGAAAATCAATTACAATATTTTATCTTTATGTGTGTGTGTGTGTGCGCGTGTGTATAAATTTGTACGTCAGAACATATTTGCTTGACAACACTCATCTCCTCAGAGGAAAGGAAATTAATTTGGATGAACCCAACCAAAGCTCAGAACTGGAACCTGCTGGTAAACCAATGCACTGTCCTAAAGGAAGAGTGTGTTGCCATACGTGAGCACTAGGAAACAAACTCCTGCTGTATAAAAAAAGGATCTTCAAGCTCAACTTGCATCCGCGGCGGCCCGTGAGTGAGCCAAATTCTGCAGAAGTGTTTTGTGGTCCGATGCGATTTGAGATTTTGAAGATTGAATCATTTTGGCAACTTTCCGCATGTTTGGGGGAGTCAAGAGGAGGCTTTAATACCAAAAACCACTCAAACATGGTGGTGGTAGTACTGTGCTTTAATGTGCTTTTTGATGTGCTGCACAAGTAACAAAGAAGGAAAACTACTTTAAAAACCATAAATTCATCTGAATTTCTCAGATGGTTCAAACATGTACAGTTTGATGTTTCAACAGAAGAAAATTCCAAATAATCAAAACTGACTTCTACTGGGAATAGACTGGCTAACATGAAGCTTCTGGGATGGCCTTCCCAAAATACCAACCTCAGCGGTGCTAAAAAAAAAACAAGTTAACTGTTTAAAACCTGAGTCTATGCCAGAAAACCAACTGATTTTAATGAATTCGGCAAATTCTGTCAAGGAGGCAGTCTGAATTTAGCCAGAAGTTTTTTGATGCTACATAAACACTGGACAAGCTTGCTAAAGAACATTTTACCAAACATTAATGGAGTTGGTAATCGTTAGGAAGTAACGTCAATAATCATTTCACTGAGGAAATCCACCCTTTGATTGCAACTGTATCATCTATCTGTCCAAAATCTAAATTAACATCGTAATTTGGAGAAATTATAACCATTAAACAAAGATGTGACGGTCCTGGTATTTAACCGTGGGAATGAATGTACAACAGTGATTTAAAGAAACCTTTAATAAAAGATGAGTGTTACACCTTTTTTGAAAAGACTGACACAAAACATACATGAGATAGTTGGTTTTATGTACAGACAGTACACAGATTATTCAAATCCCACACAGACAAGAGACACACTCCCACAAAACACACTGACTGTTTACTACGATTGGTTATCCTCCATTTCCAAACACCTCAATGTTGCTTTTTTTGGCCATTGATACCGTACATTTCAGCACACAAAGGGGATGCATGATGCATACAATGTGAAAAAGGTTGTCCAGGTTTGCAGCAATGATCCAGTGAGTGAAAAGAGTCTAAAAATTGAACCACAGCAGCAGGATGTTACAACAACCTCCATGGAAACGGACGGGAAAGAAACCGGAAGACAAAAGCGATAAGAAGGTAGAGGATGTAGCTGTCATGGGTGAGCAGGTGAAAAGGAAATGGTGGAAGGAGGCAGGAGACACCAGCAAGAAAAAGAGCAAGTGGAGAAGGAGCAAGAGGGAAAGTGCAAGAGGTTAAAGCGTTCCTTCATCCAGCAGTTTGTTGATGCCGTTGCAGATTTTTCTCAGAGAGAGTCTGTACTCATCTCCATCTCCGTACAGCTCAGCCAGGAACTCCCCGTGAGCAAAATGGTTGAAAACGTGATCGATGCGGCCATGTGAGCGTGCGGTCAGATGCTGCTCGACCAGGGCGTGAAGCAGGTCCCTGCACTCCAGCAGGAGCTCCGACAGAATATTCCTGTCAAAGGTGTACTCCACCTCATAAAACGACACAGCAGTCATGGCCGCCTGGTTCATCTTCTTCTTGAAGCGCTCCACTGTGTCCAGCTCATCTGGGCTGAACTGATGGTTTCGGTATAAGATTCCAATCTTCAGGGCGACCTTGATGACGTCTTTGATGATCTTGTGGGCCTCCTTCTTGCTCTTGGTGAACTCCCGGGATGTTTTGTAGAGCTCATCTAAGATCTCACTGCTGGTGTCGTCTGTCAGCATGTTGGCCACCGCCATGGTCGCCATCTTACTCAGGATCTTCTTTTGGGCCTGCAGGGCCAAGGAGCGAGAGTTGAAATTCTCTTGCCCTGAAGGAAAGAAAGAAAAAATACTCTAAATTACAACACAAAAAAAAGCCTGTTCTGTAATTGTGTTGAACCCTTAGAAATGTAACGTGTGTGCAGTCTTCAAGACAGCATTGTTTATGAAACTTCTACACATTTTTGCGCATGTTTATACTACGGGAGTTTTCCGCTGCCTTTAGCATTCAGTATGTTTTCATATACAGGTGCTGGCCAGTAAATTAGAATATCATCAAAAGGTTGAAAATATTTCAGTAATTCCATTCAAAACGTGAAACTTGTACATTATATTCATGCAATGCACACAGACCAATGTATTTCCAATGTTTATTACGTTTAATTTTGATATTTATAGGTGACAACCAATGAAAACATCAAATCTGGTATCTCAGAAAATTAGAATATTCTAAAGGCCAATGAAAAAATGTTTGTTTCTCTAATGTTGGCCAACTGAAAAGAATGAACATGAAAATAATGTGCATGTATAGCACTCAATACTTAGTCGGGGCTCCTTTTGCCTCAATAACTGCAGTAATGCGGCGTGGCATGGACTCGATCAGTCTGTGGCACTGCTCAGGTGTTATGAGAGCCCAGGTTGCTCTGATAGTCGTCTTCAGCTCCTCTGCATTGTTGGGTCTAGCGTATTGCATCCTCCGCTTCACAATACCCCATAGATTTTCTATGGGGTTAAGGTCAGGCGAGTTTGCTGGCCAATCAAGGACAGGGATACCATGGTCCTTGAACCAGGTGCTGGTGGTTTTGGCACTGTGTGCAGGTGCCAAGTCCTGTTGAAAGGTGAAGTCTGCATCCCCATAAAGTTGGTCAGCAGCAGGAAGCATGAAGTGCTCTAAAACTTCCTGGTAGACGGCTGCATTGACCCTGGACCTCAGGAAACAGAGTGGGCCAACACCGGCAGATGACATGGCACCCCACACCATCACTGACGGTGGAAACTTTACACTGGACCTCATGCAACGTGGATTCTGTGCTTCTCCGCTCTTCCTCCAGACTCTGGGTCCTTGATTTCCAAAGGAAATGCAGAACTTGCTTTCATCAGAAAACATAACTTTGGACCACTCAGCATCAGTCCAGTCCTTTTTGTCCTTGGCCCAGGCGAGACGCTTCTTGCGCTGTTTCTTGTTCAAGAGTGGCTTGACACACGGAATGCGACACCTGAATCCCATGTCTTTCATGAGTCTCCTCGTGGTGGTTCTTGAAGCGCTGACTCCAGCTGCAGTCCACTCTTTGTGGATCTCCCCCACATTTTTGAATGGGTTTGTCGTCACAATTCTCTGCAGGGTGCGGTTATCCCTAGAGCTTGTACACTTTTTTCTACCACATTTTTTCCGTCCCTTCGCCTGTCTGTTAATGTGCTTGGACACAGAGCTCTGCGAACAGCCAGCTTCTTTAGCAATCACCTTTTGTGTCTTGCCCTCCTTGTGCAAGGTGTCAATGATTGTCTTTTGGACAGCTGTTAAGTCAGAAGTCTTCCCCATGATTGTGGTGCCTTCAAAACAAGACTGAGGGACCTTTTAAAGGCCTTTGCAGGTGTTTTGAGTAAATCAGCTGATTAGAGTGGCAGCAGGTGTCTTCTATATTCAGCCTTTTCAGAATATTCTAATTTTTTGAGATACCAAATTTGGAGTTTTCATTAGTTGTCACTTATGAATATCAAATTTAAATGTAATGAACATTGGAAATACATTGGTCTGTGTGCATTGCATGAATATAATGTACAAGTTTCACGTTTTGAATGGAATTACTGAAATATTTTCAACCTTTTGATGATATTCTAATTTACTGGCCAGCACCTGTAACAGCTGAAATCCATCTGGATGAACGTGCACTTGAAACTCAGCTGACCCACTGCAATACAAACACACATCCTCCTTCACTCCTTTTCTAAACATTTCTTTGACCTTTTGTTCAGGATTTTGTGATAAATGGTTCAATTATAAGCAAATGCTTGAATAAAAAAATCTTTATCACATAATTAAATGTTGTGTCGCTTGGCAGCAGTTTCAAAAGATTTCATTAAAGGATGTTCAGTAAAATACCAGTAATCGTGCTTTTGGCATGAAAAAAACAAAAATACTATCTAATTCAGTACATTTTCAGATAAACATCTAGTAAAAGTGCCATGTGGTGCTTTGTCAGTAATAAGTGAAAGCGAACTTGCACAGAACCAGAGAAACTGTGACAAGGAATACACCAAACAAGGTGCTGCCACATTCTGCAGCAGGGCGTTGGCCTTGAGCTGACTGTGGTTTAGCCTGCTGGCTACAGGGGGAATGACTAGCTGCCCTCGCTAATATCAAACAGCTGTGCCCTGATAAGAATCACTTTGCAGAAATTAAAATAAAAAATCTACAAATGCAGAAGAAGCACTGTGTTGTGTTTTGTGTCCAAATACAGTCCCAGTTTATCCCAGAGTTGAACACGAAAGGCTCCTCGTGTTCTTATGCAGCGATGCCAGTGGGCTGACATGTGTCTGAGTGAGTGTGAGGGTGGACGGGGGGTTATTTAGGTGCCACCCAGCTTCAAATTACACACCAGATAACTCCTATTATGATTAAAGGCGAAGGAAGAGGCATCATTTTTCTCTCCCTTCTCCCTGGGCACGTTGTCAACCTCCTCCTCCACATGTCTGTTCAAAGGGAGAGTAGGAAGACAGGATGGGGCTGCTGTTGCCCCGTAGCTCAAAGCTGCAGCCAGCTCAGATTCAAAGAGGAACACCTGTTTTGTTGTCATTATAATTAGAGTAAACTAAACCAGTCTTTGACCGTTCAGGATTTCCACCATCACATTATCTACGTGCTCTTTTAATTGTTTGAACACAAACATACAAAAGACTCTGGAAGCTTCACCGCTGCTGTGGGAAACCTAATACGTGGCATTTCACATGAATATAGAGAGATGACATTTCATGTTTGTGTGTCTGAAGCTAAATGACATTTCATGAAATATAATTAGCCCTCCATGACATTTAACAGCAAATAAGGCTAATTCTTTTGTCTACAGATTTTTCCTCCAATATGCGAAATCTGATCCTGTCACCCATCCATCCACCCACCCTCATGATGTGTAAATGAAAGAAAAAATCACTGTGGTTTATCATATTATTCCAATCCACAACAAAAATTATCTTTAGATAATTGTGCATTTTGCCCCTTTCCCCTCAAGCCTAGTAAAAAAGAAATTATTGTATTTGACTGAAACTCTCAAAGTTATCAGTTAACCTCCAACTGACTTCTCAGTTCATGATAGCTGCTACTGCTATTGACTTTAGCAAACACCAAAAACCTCTTTAACCCTGTAAATTCTACATATGGTTCAAGCACAAGTTCAGCTTTACTTGTATGGCGCATTCGCACAGCCAGGTGGTCAAACAAAGTGCTGTACACCATCATAAAATCACCTAAAGACAGAAGTAAAACCAACCCTATCAAACATATTCAAAACAATTGAATCAGAGAAAAGTACCCATAAATTGAACAAGTCAAAACTGAATTAAAAAGGTACCCAGCTATGACCTTTCATTGTAAATTAAGGCGAAGGAGAAAAGTACGATTTCAGTTGACTCTTAAAACTGTCGAGCAAGGGAGTCTGTTTGAAACCTGCTGGGAGTTCATACCAAAGCATCAGGGCCAGGACCGGGAAGGCGTGACTCCCTCTTGATTTGAATCTGTGCATTGGAACAACCCCTGGTATGGTGACAAAAAAGTGGTGTTATAGTTAAGTGTCCTCCCTAATGCATACAGTGCTATTGTACTCACTAACTACCTGTTGCCCTTCAGTAAAATCTAATCAGAAATGATCAGAAAGTAATAATTATACATAAATCTAAAACCGGGCTGGCCAGCTCACCTTATGGATGAATCTCAGTCAAAACTTCATCTAACGCTGCACATTAATGTGGCAGGAGCTGCAACTTTCAACACTTATGTACTAAAAATAAAGAAAAACTATTTTTTAGGAAACTAGATTTGTTTTTTTTATTCTTTTTGCCAAGTAAAAGTATATCCTGACTTATAATATAATGTAGCACAGTCAACATAAAGGACTAGGAGTTTGATTTCAACAAACATAATGGGGACTGTAATACCAATGCCCTATACACTGGCACTACTGGTTGCTGTTGCGGGTGGTGGTCTTTACGTGTGTTTAAAAGAATTGCAGCTTGTGTTTATTTCCGATGATGTTTATTATTTTGTCTTGTTCCAAAATGTCCATGATCCATTTACAGCAGTTAAAGTGGTTTTCAGTGAATGCGTTTCCAATGACAATCCGCAGAGTCCGTTACACCCAGCCACAGTCCTCGCCACACAGTAAAAAACTGTTTGTCCCATCCAGCAACACCTGAGTCCAATCTGTGTTGGCTTAAGTAGGCTGGTGCTTCCACAAGCAATTAACCAATAACATGAGGCAAAGCCTCCTCTCAAGTGCGCAAAAAGAAATGACACATATGGCTCCTACAGGGACATATTATGCAAAACTCACCTTTTGCATCCTTTTGTGATGCCATGTGAGTCTCTACTGCTATTAAGACTCCAAATGTGTCAAAGCTCCACCCTTCAGCTTTCTGTCAGTGTTTGGTTATAGGAATTATGTGCGTAAAACAGGCTGTTTAAAAAAGCCTCCTTTTGTGACATCACAAATGAGGAAATTAGCATAGATTTACTTCTCATGCACATTAGAGAGCTGCTGTTGGAGGAGCAGCGGCTCTACTCCAAGTCCCTCCAGGATATCAGAGCTTCTCAACTTATTGACCCTTTGCACGTGACGTCACACCACTCATGGGATCCCCCCTTCACCACAGTGGATGGCAAATAGACTGTTCACACACATTGAAACGCCAGTGAAGCTAGTCAAAACAAACCAGTTTGTTGCCTTTTATCACTTTAATTTAGTTGATTTTACAGTAAAATGATGGCAGCTTGCTGCGTGGTTGGCTGCCTTAACAGACAAGGATGTGATACCAACTCGTTATTTATTTTTAAAATAAC